TTTTCGAACCGGGCTACCGACGTGTGGGCGGCGCAGGTGTACGCGTACGAGCTGGACCTCTTCGACGACAAGCCGCCGCTGTGGTGCTACTCCGCTACCAACCCGTCTGCCCGCCGCTTTGACTTGGTGCGATGCGACGCCGCCATCGCTGTGCGGGACCGCGTGGTGCAACTCCGCGGCGAATGGTCGAGTGAGCACTCCTTTTTCGTTGGCCATGAGTGGTGCTTCAGCGAGTGCGCCTTCTGCTCTAGGTTTCTCGGCTGGGGCTTTCGCGCTCTCAGGGAGGCACCCGACAGTATCAGCAACAACAACAACAGCAATAGCAACGCCTCCGCCGGTGAGGACGGCGAGGGCAACCGCGAGGTGGGGACTGGTGCCAGTTTCATTGGCGTGATACTGACCCACTGTGTCGGCAAGGACAACTACCCGCGGGCGAAGTATGATGAGGCCATGTTGGCTGCCACGAATCTAAGTACAATGGATAGGCGGTTACCCAGTCTGCTTAATGCTTTGCGGAGCAATTTGGCAACCTTCACGAATATGGATTCGACCCTGCAGGCCTACCCGGGCTTTCGAGGCCTGGAGACGGCACTTTACGAGCTGCAGGACATCATGGGGGATGCTGAAATAGAAACCGTGGCTATAAGCGTTGAAGATGCGCTCAGTGGCGAGCAAGAAAATGCTGAAGAAGAAGAAGAAGAAGAGGGGGGAAATGATAATAATGGTGAGGACGAGGAGGGGGGAACTTGACTTCTGGCGGTACGTTGTTTGCTTTCATTATCATTCTGATTCAAACAAGTTCCATCCCCAACGCTTTGTCTCTGACACAAGTTGTCAGCCTGGCGTTATTCCTCCTTCTCTCTCCTCTCTTCTTCTTCTCTCCTCCAATGCATGCAACTGCAGCTGCGGTCGTGGTTTTACTTTTTGCTGTTGTCTCTCTCGTGTTGGACGGCCTTCTTCGTTTTTGGCATGCGTCGAGCGTCTCCCCCGCCGCCGCCTTCAGCATAATAGCGGCAGGGGCTCGGCAGCGCTAACTATTTAGTGGAGCGTCGTCCCCGGCGATGTCGAGGAACGANAATAGCGGCAGGGGCTCGGCAGCGCTAACTATTTAGTGGAGCGTCGTCCCCGGCGATGTCGAGGAACGAACACCGGCCCCGACGCCAGTCACAGCGCAGAGGGTGGTGGCGGCGCCGCGGCGGAGGAGGTGCTGCTCTGCATGCAGTGCCCGCGACCCTGTCAGCCGCTACGAAGACTTTTTTTTCGAACCGGGCTACCGACGTGTGGGCGGCGCAGGTGTACGCGTACGAGCTGGACCTCTTCGACGACAAGCCGCCGCTGTG